CAAAATTGATAATTTTTGTGGGATTGCTATATGGAAAACATGTGATTCATTATAAGCCAGTGGAAACTAAGAGGACAAATACATTTTTATGTCTTATCCAATGCAAAATTTAAGCCAGAAGAACCCCACTAAGCCATTTTAAGGACAACTAGTCACCTGGGGGGCGGAGAAGAAAAAAGACTTAGAATATCTCAGTGTATGTATCAATTCTCCACTTAGTTTCTGACATTGTCTTAAAATACACTCAATAAGCCAAGTGTAGCCATACTAACAAGCACTTCAAATTGGAGATACTGCTTTTAGAAATATTCTTAGAAGCTGATCGTGTGCCAGACAACATGCAAGAAATTATAGATGAATGGAAATCACCAGTTACCTCAGAAAACTCCATGAGCCTGCTGTGATTCTTAGATGCTTTGGATCTGGTGCCTTTTTTACTCAAGTTTTTTGGAGGGGTTGCTTTCTGAATGGAAGCTAGAGCCGCTCGGTAGAGAACATATTCCCTTGTTGCAACATGTTCTGATGCCTTAGCGCCATTCTAATGAAAAGAAAAAGAAGAATAAGATTTGAGAGAAGACTTATCTGATACCAATTCTTGGTGTAACAGAAGTCAACAACTTATTTTTGATCTGTCCTCCCACCTAGAAGGCTTCCTATAATAAAGCATCATACCAAGTAGTATGTTAATTTTATCTTAGCTTTTTCAGTTGCTACTGTTATAGACACGTAGAACAGACCCCTAATTCAGACCATCAAAACCAACCATCTTCTACTACATAATGTAACTTACTTTCATATTAACATAATTATTGAGGTAGAGAATGTAACCTCGTCACTGCAATGTTTAAAAGTACAAAGTAATATTTCTAATTCTTTCCACTGAATAGGGATGCTTGAAGTTTTCTTTCTGAAAAGTAAGAGAATTGGTGGGAGGAGCTAAATTTGCAGTTCAGGTTAAGAAAAGCATACAATGGCAGGGAGCAAATCAAACTTTATGGAATGAATGTTCAGTGCTATCCAACTGTTTCATCCCAACAGACCAGCATCATAAAATATTTCATAAAATTCAAGCTAGTTGACTACCTTATTCTGTGGCAGACCCAAAGCCTTGTTTCGTTGCCTCTTAAGGAAGAAAAACCCCAAACGTTTTAAAAGAGTCCTTCCTTGGTAAAGTGCAATGCTAGTGTGGTTGGATCTGTGGTTGCGTGGCACAGTCAGCAGAGTGGTTTCGCTCAGTCTCACTCCCTTCTGCATGAGTGGAGATGCTGAAGCTAAGCAGCCTCTGCTGAGAGCCTTGAGGGCTTGCCCAGTGGGCAGTGCTGGAACTGACCCTCTCCTTCCTGCCTTGCTCTGTGACACAGGACATGTGGAAGCTCTTAAGAACACCTGCATCTTTCCCTGGGTAATCTTGCTCAGTAAACCTTCCTCGGGATCCAAAGACAGGGAAGATCCCCAACAGGGAAGTGACTAGCAACACCTGAGACCAGGCATCCTAACTGGACTCCAGGTTTTCAATCTAAGAAACTCTTCTGAGATCTCTTAGGGCTGGGAGTAGTCCTGAAATAGCAGAAAGACACTACTGGTTAAGGCTTGAAATATCCAACAAGTGTAGAAACTTACAGAAAGGTTTTTCACAGCTTTACTATATATTTGGAAAATACATTTATCTTCCTGTAGAATCTTCTGCCATGTTGTGCTGACCTTGGCAAAACTGCAACGACAATACAAACATATCAGTTACCTCCTAGGAAAGGGAAAAACTTTTTATTTAATAGTAGGAACAACTATGCAATCTTTTCCTTTCATGTAGAAGGTGGGATATGTTCACAGTTGTAGTCTTTAATTTGCCTTCTAGGGAAAAAGGCACATTGACCATATTTGGCTTATACATGGCTTACACTGCCAGTTTATGTTTCAATATACTAATATATAATACTAACCATTGGTTTTGTCAATGTCACAAGCCCCTTATCTAAAGCATTCTTAAGCCATCTGATTAGGTTGCTTATTTTCCCAATGAAATACAATGAGATCAATATACTTACTTTACTAAATCCATCTCACCGAGATGCCTTAAGATGTTTGCTAATATATGCTTCAGGTTCTTTTGGAAGAGTTCAGCAAGAATGTCTATCGTGTCTAATCCCATTTTCTTTCCAATTAGGTTACAAAGTTCAACCTTTCCTCTAAAAACAATTCTGTCTACCACAGCCCAAGACTTGAGATTTCTTTTCCCATTTTTTTTCAAAGTTGAGCAAATCATTTCTTCATAATGGATTACTGGCAACAAAGTCTTCTTTGAAAACTGTGCTTGGTTTTGGTTCTTGAAACAATGCTTTGGTGTGTCACAGAGATTCCCAGCCAAAGGTATACTATCGTCATGTTCTACTGCATCAGCGTATTGGTTACTTAACATAGAGGAATAACCACTGTCCTCATTAAATTTACTGTTTTCCAGTGCCTCCATTTCATAGATACCTTCATCAAGTGTCTGGGTTAGTTGTTTGTTTTCTTTGTTGTGTATAGGTCTTCCTTCATCTTCAAGGTCTAGATTTCTGGTGGCCGCATGGTATGAGTCACTAAGGAGTATTTTCTGATGCTCTTCAGCACAGCTTTTACAAAAGTCTTCCTTACAATTCAAGGAGCAGGATTCTTCCAGTCTTGTTTTCTCCACAGTAGACTTCAGTGGTGCAAACCCAGCAGGAAGAGACGTACAATCAAAATCGCATTTCATTTTGAAAGAGGGGTTAAGGTTTGGTTTCATTAATCTGTTTGTATCCTGCAAGAAACAAGGAGGACAGAATTACTACACAGCATAAACTGCATCACAGGTTCTTTTTCTTATAAGGAACCAATCACTCCTCCCTTCTGTATTATGAATTTTAAGCTTTTATATAACTCACCCTCCAGCGTCTAAAACACAGACAACTAGTGGAACCAGTGGAATTAAGGATCAGCCACACATTTAATCTATGTGAGATCTTCTCAAAATTAGAGCTTTATGCTGCTTATAACTGGGGCAAGAAACTGACTGGATCATATAATGGTCTGGGCCGGAAGGGACCTCCAAATGTCATCTAGTCCGACCTCCCCGCAGTCAGCATGGACACCCCCACCTAGACCAGGTTGCCCAGGGCCTCATCAAGCCTCACCTTCAATGTCTCCAGGGAAGGGGCCTCAACCACCTCCCTGGGCAACCTGTTCCAGTGCTCCACCACCCTCACAGTAAAGAACTTGTTCCTAATATCTAATCTAAATATGCTCCCCTCCAGCTTAAATGCTTTACTTTGTCACCATTCCACCAGCATGGCCTACTCTAAGAGACACCAATGCTTCCAACTCCCTACCCTTAACGCAGGGATATACTCAGGACACTTGCAGTCCCTGCTAGGGACACCAGTGGCAGTGGGCCCATGAGTGACATTGGCCTCAGGCAGGGCTAGAGCTGGGCCTGAGCAGCCTGAAGCTTGCACCCAAGGCCAGAGACAACTCTGCTGATGCAGCCAGGTGTCTGGAACTTTAAAGAAGGGGAAAAGTTGAGTGGCAGAGGAAAAGCGTGAGTGCTCACACGTACGCCTAAATCACAATGCGTGTGTAAATTACAATGGAAAGCGGCGACCCTTAAGACAATGGTCAGAGTGAAACAGAGCTGACCTACAAGCATGATTTTAAGAGGGTGGGAGGTCGATAGATATTACAGGGAAAAATCGAGTTTTTCTTGCCCTTTTTCCTTCCCCTCCCCCCAGAGTGTGGTGCTATCTATATTAACAATTGCGGGGGGATGGGCGAGGGCTGAAGGGAAGAAGGAAGCCATCTCTCAAGTGTTAAATCTAGAAGGGGGGAAAAAAATTTCAATGTGCTTTGCAATCCCTATGCAAAGTAAGCTCCCCCATTTGAGCAGGTATTTTAAGGGATTTAAGCACTTCCAGCCGCTTTGGAAAAAAAAAATACTAGAAAAATGTGTTTCATGAACGATTCAGACAAAAAAAAAAAAGGCCTTTTTTTGTAGCTACTTTTAGTGGAAGAAGAGAGCAAATGCGGTTATGGCTTTGTACAGTGTGAGTGAACCGTGGGGAGAGAGGTGAGCCCCCCCCCCAAGCCTCCTTCTCCCCTTCCCCCCATGGCTTGCGCGCCACCAGCGAGCTGGGGAGCTTTTGGGCTGAAACCCTGCAAAATTGGGAAACGCGTGTCTCCTTCTCCCCCCGTTTTTCGGGGCTCCCAGGTCGGCCCCGACCACCCGTCGGGGCGGGCTGATCCGCGGGCCCCCCGGGCGCTGTCAGGGGGCTCCCGCCCGGCGCCCAAAGATGGCCTGGGCGGGCGGCGGGGAGACCCCGCGGCCCCGAGAACCGGAGCCTGAGCCTTCAAGGAAAGGGAGGGGAAGGGGGGGATGCCTCCGTTTCCCCCCCTCCTTGGGGTATTGCCCCCCAAAATGGAGGCAGCGGGGCGGGCAGGAGCGCGGCAGGGGGATGCCCCCCTCCGGCGGCGTGGCCCGGCGGGCGGGAGACAGCGCGGCGCGGCGCCTCCCCGCCCGTTGCTGCCCGCCGGCGGGAGCCGGGCATCCCCATCCCCGGTCTGCCCGCCACCTTTCGCGGCGCCCCTCAAGACCCGCCACCGCGTAACACCGGCAGCCCCCCGCCACACATCCCCCCCCACGGCGCTCCGCAGTCCCCGGCCACGGAGCCCTCACCGCGGAGACCCGAACCGTCCCCGCTCCACACAAGCCTTCCCCGCGGAGCCCCACAACCAGCCCCACCGATTCTCCCCAAGGGACCCTGCCGCGGAGCCCCGGCCCCGCCACCCTCCCGCCCTCACCTGCAGGGTTGCGCCGCCGCCGTCTCCCGCCGGCCCTGAGCGCGCGGCCGCCCGCCCCGGGTACTTTTAAAAACTTTGAATTTGGTATCCAAAACCGCGCCGGCCAATGGGGCGCCGCCGAGAGGGAAAGGAGGCGGCCAATGGGAGGCGGGGGGAAAGCGGAGGGAGCCAATCCTGAGGGGGTGGGCGGGGCCTGGTCCGGCTCGGCATTTTCCCTCCTCGGCCGGCAAAGGGCGAGTGGCGGGGAGGCGGTGTGCGCGCGCGCCGGGGCGGGGCGGGGCCGGAGCGCGGGAGACGCGGTGTGCGTGCGGGGGGGCTCCCGCCTCTTCCTCCCTCATTCCCTCCCGTCCTCCCGCAGCCCAGCGGGCTCGGGGCGCTCTCACACACCGACCGAACGGATTCCGCGCCCCGGGGGAAGCGGGGTGACACAGGGGTGTCCGCCCCCACCGAGATCGGCGTTCGTCCCGAAACGGGCGCGCCCGGGGGTGGCGGTGACACAGTCCTGAGGGAAAGGATTTGGGTTCTTACACCTGGGCTCCTCCCGCTATGGAGGGAGGAATTGTATTCCAGAGAAACACTGGAACAGGTTGCCCAGAGAAGCTGTGGCTGCCCCATCCCTGGAGGTGTTCATGGCCAGGCTGGATGGGGCTTTGAGCAACCTGGTCTGGTGGGAGGTGTCCCTGCCCATGGCAGGGGGTTGGAGCTCCATGATCCCTAAGGTCCCTTCCAACTCTAACCATTCTATGATTCTATTTATTTTACGGTGTAACCAGCATTACTCAGAGCTGGCAGAGTGGGGAGGAACGGTGCCAGGAGCTCAGCGGGGTGGACACCAGCGCGGGGGGTCCCATCACTGGCTGAGAAGACAGCCCAGAGAGGTGGCATTTGTTGTGCGATGACACACCTTGCGTTAAAATGAATATGGAGCATGAAAGGGACTTGGAAGTCTTTCCGTGGTGACGCTTGCCATGATAGGCTAAGGAGGCACCACTCAGGGTAGTGACGTCCACCTTATAGGATGCCACCAGATGCCATTTTTGGGATAGCTCTGTCAGCCTCCCGCTAGAACCACGTAATACCTGGCTTTTCTCAGCCTGATCGCGGACTGGCCACCTGCACAGCAACAACACACCTAGTCTCTGTTTAGGAGCCGGGTAACAGGGCAGCTACAAGCCAGGCAGGATCTGGGCAGGCAGGCCACCAGCTGGAACATCAGGGACTAAGGTGACAAAGACCTGAACACTTATCGTGCAGTGGTCAAGTGCTTAGACCTGGTTGATGGCCCTCATTTGTTTGGAGGAATATGAAGCTGAAGTCATAGAGAAGGAATCGCAAACTGCATCCGTCTCTTGGTGTAAGACAGTCTGGCTTTAAGTGAAGTCAAGAAAACTGTCACAACTGCTCCATATCTGCTCTTTACAGTACTGATCTGGTAGGAATAAAGACTTCAGTCTTAATTTCTGCTCCAATCAATACCTAATTCTTTCACCCACAAAATGCATCGATGTTCCTCTTCGCTTTCCTACGTGCCAGGCGGGAGTTGTAAATCTGGCTGTAAATCCAGACCTAGGTCTCACCAACAGGAAATACGTGTGCCTCACCTTGCACACACAGGCACTCCTACATCCCAAGTTAATGTACGCTTCTTTAATTATAAGATTTGGAACTTAAATCATAGTTACCATGCAGTATTTCCTAGAAAACAAAGCTGACGAAGGTCTTAAATGGTTCTATGCATTTTTTGACATGCATTCATTCAAACTGCAGTCTCAAATGTGATAAAAGATAATAAATTTACAATAATCAGTTGATTTTTATATAGGACATTTAAATAATGCATCTTTATTATAAACTATTTGTAGCAAACTTACTTTGTTCCATTTCTCATTTCTTACAATAATTTCAATTAGGAGCCTGAAAGTAAACACCCCTATACTCATGGTAACATTTTTCCTTAAGTTCCAATTTCTTATTTACTGGTATCTATATTTCAAAAACATTCCGTGTGTGTTCACACACGTCCATACATACAATGCATCATGGGATAATGTGGCATGGAAGCTGCAGGTTTTGTATTCCTATCTGTATTTGGCATTGTAAAATGTAACCTAAAATAAATGTTAAAAGTCTTCTTTACCTACAGATAGAAACATGTGCACGTATATCAATAGATTAGACAGGCAAAAGTTTTACTTTTTTTTTCACTGATCAAGTGTTTTAAGACACTGTTAAATAAATAGACAAAACCAGTAAGATGCTGTTCATACCACGTAACATTTAAAAAATCAATAAGCTGGAGTCAGCTGAAAACATAAAGGAGAAACTGAACTGAAGCCAAATGGAGACTGAAATACCAGCCAAATAATGTAACAATTCTTTTCACTTTTGAATCAAGAGGAGTAACATCCTTTTCAAAAACAATTCATATAACTTGGCAGTTGACTTCCACTGCTTTTTTTTTTTTTTTTATATTCCCTAACATTTTTTTTGTGTTTAGTAGTAAAGGCTGGAAGGCCATGAAAACATGAAGGAGATACACTTTGACTTCCTCTTCCACGCCACGTAGAAGTGATTAACAAAAATACAGAATTGTAGTGGGGTCATTTATTTATCACTTTCTTCCAATCACTCAAATAAAATAGGATTTTTTTGTTCTCTCAAGTAAGCTATTTGACACTGTCCTGATGTTTAAACTATTGTTTAAATGAAATCTGGAACTAGAAATAGCTCATTTTTTAACGCATACCTTTTGGAAGTGGTGTATCGGTATCTTCTCAGTGGAGAAAGGTAAAAACTGCAGTTACTTCTGGCCCAGTCAAGTTTACTTTTTTAAGAGGACTGCTGCAGCAGTAACGTCTCATATGAAGGTAAGAGAGTCTTTTACTCAGCAAGTAAGAAAACTGTTTATCAGGCATGAGGAAACAAATTGTGGTGTCTTTCATGATCTGAAAAGCAGTTGCATTTTCTGGCTGGTGGCTCCAAGAAGCTCCTTTGCTCCTTTGCAAATGTCTACATCTGTTGTAATGGGCCGACAAAGAGCAACGTTCAAGATAGATTCTTTTTTTCACTTTCTGAAATAATTTCCATTAAAGATTCATAATCAGCATATTCTCTCAGAGTTTGTATCATTTCATCTAGCATTTCTTCCCCTAGCATGAAAGACTCGATATGATGCACTGATCTGCTTATCCTGTGGTCAGTAATGCGGTCCTGTGGAAAGTTGTATGTTCTGATCTTCTCTGATCTTCCTTTCGTCCCCACCTATGAAAGAAGAAGTACCAGTTTATAAAAAGGATGAAATATTGATTAAGCATCTGAAGCAAACGCTTTCTCTCCCTCCCATAATTATCCAAAATTTGTTACAGTTACATAGTGCTTAGACCAGTTCAGCAGTTGTAGTAATTTTTCTCAAACATGTAGAAGAATTTACTGTATCTTTTTCTAGTATGTTTTGGTTCTTCATGCTCCAATCCAGTTTGTTTCACTAGATCTTTGAGGAGGATCTTTGGGGAGGGACTCTTTGCCAGGAAGGGTAATGATAGGACAAGGGGAAACGGTTTTAATTGTTCTCAAACATGTAGAAGAATTTACTGTATCTTTTTCTAGTATGTTTTGGTTCTTCATGCTCCAATCCAGTTTGTTTCACTAGATCTTTGAGGAGGATCTTTGGGGAGGGACTCTTTGCCAGGAAGGGTAATGATAGGACAAGGGGAAACGGTTTTAAATTGGAAGAAAAAAGATTCAGATTAGATCTCAGGAAGAAATTTTTTACTATGAGGGTGGTGAGACACTGGAACAGGTTGCCCAGGGAAGTTGTGGATGCCCCATCCCTGGAAGTGTTCAAGGCCAGGCTGGATGTGGCCTTGAGCAACCTGCTCTAGTGGGAGGTGTCCCTGCCCATGGCAGGGGGGTTGGAACTCGATGATCTTTGAGGTCCCTTCCAACCCTAACCATTCTATGATTCCATTCTATGATCTCTAGAATTTACATACTACTGAAATTTTAAGCCTGGCTAATAGATAACCTTTATTGCTCAAGCAGAACATTAAGGTTTTTTTACCCTGTGTAGGTCCTTCCTGGGCTCCTGTTCCTCTGTATTTCCATTTACTATTTGCAGTTCACCACAGGTGGAGTTACCCCAAGAACATACGCAGAATTATATCTTTACTAACTGAAACTTACTTGAATCTTTCGAACAGTGTTTCTCTTTTTGGTTTCTTCTTCCAGTTTGGCATTGTATAGTTTAGCAGATAGCATTTGCATAGCCTTCTCTTTGTTTCTAATTTGAGATCTTTCTTGCTGACATTCAGACACGATCCCTGCCAAAAATATCATGACATTTAACATTCAACGGTAACACATACTAAAAGGGTTTTGCAATTTCTAGAAGATTTTTATTATGTTACAATAAGCTGTTTCTTTCTTCAATACGTATTTTGGACTGGGAATGTAAAAGTCTAGGCTTATTAATGTCTAATGATACATTTTGGGAGAAAAGTGCAGGCTGAGTTGTACAGGTGCTTTAAGCCATAAGATAAGAAATTTAATGCGATATGTTGGACAACAGGTAGGTAATGAAATAAAAGATACGTGACGTGATCTGACTTACAGAAGACAACATTAATACTTGCACTTTTTGGCCACAGTTCCAGGAAATTTAGGTTTAAATGAGCAGTAAAATACACGAGATAGCGAGTATAAAGATTATGATTACAATATACAAAAATGAGCATGATTTTCTTTAAAAAAAAGGTGTGGTTTCTCCCCCCAAAGCATGCAGTTCCAGTTAAGATGAGAAGTGAATGGCCCAGGAAAGGAGTAGGGAGAAGAAATACAGGAATAAGACAGCACAAGCTAAGCTGTTATCTGCATTTTTTTAATTAACTCTGGTAAGATGACAGTATGCTTTTATAAGACTAATATTAATACATAGTATTACTTTATGAAAGACTTGTTTAGAAACAACTTTTTGGGCCGCAATAAGGGTTTATAAACAGAGTTAGGATGAGAGAAATAAAAGAAGTAGCAGGACAATTGTAAAGGAAGA